GCCGGTCAAACCCACGGCTAAAGGCACGGCCATTCAGAAAGCATTGATTGAGCAGCTACTTGTGCCAAACACGCTCTCCAGTTGCTGGGTCCGTGCCCTCGGTTCTGGCGGAGGTCAATAAATTAATGTCAGGAGGCGGGACGTGCAGAGGGATGGAGATGAAGGCGTCATTTCGCCTTTGGTGGTTGGGGACAGCCTCAGTAATGATTTGGTGACATTTGACATTTGGACCTTTGGACAGAGACCTGGACGGGTGAGGGAGGGGCGAGTCGTGAGCCCTCGAGTGGAGGGGGAGAGAGGAAGGAGAGGAGGAGGAGGGAGGGGAGCGTCCGCTGGTCACGGGGTGAGGGCGGGCTCCGGACTCGGGCCCCTTCTTTGTTGTCGGAGTGGTGGCAGGGGTGCGCAGAGGCCGGCGTGGCCCGGGATGGAGTGGGCTCGTGACGCGTCCCTGCGCTCCTCATGCCGATGAGGGAGGAGGGAGGAGAGGAGGGAGGAGGAGGAGGGTGGGACAGCCCCTCCTCCTGGGCAGCGAGGGGAGCGAGGGAGGAGGAGAAGCGCGCGGAGGCGGGAGCGGGGCCCTCCCTCCTCCCTCCTCCCCCTCCCCGGGAATAGGACGCTCTCTTGGGACGCCCTTCCCCCGCACCCGGACGATGCCGCAGAGAGCTTGGAACCGCTCGACTCCACCTCCCCTCCCCTCCCCTCCCTCCCCTCGTCGTCCGCTTGGAGGGTGAGGAGCAGGGTCCATTGGACTCTGAGGTTGCTGTGAGCTAGGCTGACGCCACGGCACTCACTCTAGCCTGGGCAACAGAGTGAGACTCTGTCTCAAAAAAAATTTTTTTTCAAGGGTAGAATTGACGCCTTTCTCACAGCTGTGTCTTACCCACTTGGCTCATGGCCTGAGAAACTTAAAAGCTATTTTCATCCTGGTTGTCTCCGTCCATCCGTGGGGTCCGTGACCCCCTGCCCCCTGCTCCTGTCACCGAGAAGCCCCCAAAGCGCCTGTCGCCCCTTCCTCCCCTGCTGTCCGAGCTGCAGCGCCAAGCCTGGGACTATTTCTGCCCGCGGGTGACGCCCCTAATGAGTGCCCGCCAGGAGAGCGGCTCCCTCCCTTCCCTAACGACTTCCTTCCGAGGCTAAATAAAGATCGCCGGGCTGCGGCTGGCCGTGCCCACTTCCAAAATAAACAGGAGCGCAGAAATGAGCCGGAACCGCGGCGTCATTAGACAGCTGCGGCGTGGCTCTCCCAACCGGGCCGGCCGCCGCTCCCGCCCTCCTCGCGTTGGAGGGTCACGGTGGCCGTCCGTCTGTCTGCCCGCTGTCTGGGCCCAGAAGCGGGCCGTGGTGGTCGGGGACGCGCGGGCGCCGGGTCTCGGCGGTCTGGGGGCTCTGCACGCTCCGGCTGTGCGGCCTCGAGCGGGTCGCTGGGCTTCTCTGAGCCCGTTGCCCGCGGTGAGAGAGTGGCCGCCGCGTCCAGCTCTCAGCGCCAAGCGAGGCCGCGCGGACTTGGTGGACGGCAGGTGCTGCGCGGTCCTGGTCCCGCGTCATCCTGCACCGGGTGGGCCCCGGCCACCTCACTGGCTCCCCCTTCCTCGCGCACCCGGGGTCTAAGCGCGTCAGTCGCGCGGCGCTGCCCGCGGTCCCCGGGAGGGGCCTTCTCGCGTTTGCTCGGACTAAAGGGTAACACGGAGAACTCGACCACACCACGTGCCGCTCTGGCCGGGGAAAGGTCAGAGCACCTCTGCGACGTGGGCGCCGGCTATAATAATCCGCTAATCGGCGTCATGTATTTCATTGACTATGAATTGATTAGCCGTTTAGAGAAGGTGGCGACGCTGCGCAATTAATCCGGGGGAAGAACACGTGGCGCCCAGAGCGGTCAGGCAGCCATGCTGAGGTTTGCAGAGCAGGTATGTCGGCGCCAGGACGCGGCGGGGTGGGGTCGGGGGTGTCTGGCTCTCCATCGAGCCTCTCGTCCTGCCCTCTGGCTGCTGTCGCAGAAGGCCCGAGCAAGGGCGGCAGGAGAGAGAGCGAGTTTTTCACAACAAGGAAGACGAGGGAATCCGCTGTCGCAGGACGCCCTGATTGCGCGGGGCCGGGAGGGGGCGCAGCCAACGCGGGGCCGAGAGCAGGGTGTGGGGGCCCGCGGGCACCAGAAAACACAAAAAGGCACCCCCTGTTGCCTCGCGCGGCAGCAAGCAGGGACCCATGTGCGGCCCCCGGGCCGGGCGGCGCTCTGGTGCGGACGCCCCGGCCCTGCGCTCAGCCTTGCTCAGCCGCGCTCCCTTCCCCGCAGCACATGCGAGAGGCCGCGGAACGGCGGCAGCAGCTGGAAGCGGAGCATGAGCAGGCCCCTGGCGGTCTCCTCCAGCGCCAAGCAGCAAGGAATCGACCTTCTGCAGAATACCGCGGGGCCCTGCCGGAGCGGGCTGGCGGGGGCGGGCGGGGCGGGGGTGGGAGCCCGAGGGCGGAGGGGCCTCTCCCGCCCTCCTGGCACGCAGGTTGGGGCGCGTTTGCTTCCCCGTGTGCTCTGGGTTTCTGAAGTGTCTCGCGTTCATGATGGGAAAACAAGCAGAAAGCTCCAACGCCCGATGCCGGCGAGGCTGTGGGGAAAGGGGCACGCGCTCGGGTCGCCCGCGGAGGCGTGAACGGCCTCAGCTTTGGGCGAGTGGCGTGCGGCAGTCCACCCTGGAAACGCTCACGGATGCTGGCGCTCCGGCCCGTCCTGCGCCGCGCCCTGCGGGAAGGAAGCGCAGGCACACGAGCACACGGGCTGTCGTTACTGTCGTTGTCTGCGGCCACGCTGCGTGGGAGGGGGTGGGGAGCCGGGCTGAACCCACCGCCCCGGGCGATGGCCGCGCGCATTGCGTGTGCAGCCGCGCGGCAGACCCAGACGGCCCCAGTGGAGGGCGTTGCTGTGGCTTTCTTCCCACACACAGACGCCCCACACGCCAGAGGCGGCGGGTGACCCCAACGCTCGGTCCCCGGCCAGCCCCGGCTCCGTCTACACTCGCCGTCTCGGCCCCTGAGCTCGTCCCCGGGTTTCGATGCCCGAGTGTGGCGGCTCCCAGCCTTAGACGTGAAGCCAGCTGAGCTCCGCGTAGCGCGGCCACCACGCGGGTGGCCCCAGACGCTACGCCCGGGTGGAGACCCTCTGCTCTCACCGTGCCTGCCCGCCCGCCTGTTCCCCGGGCTCTGCGGGTGGCAGCTTTCCTTTTGTGCGAGCTTTTTTTTCCTCGTTTGTCTGTTCGCCGGGTCCTCTGTCACCCGTGCCGCTGGGGTCCCCGAGGGCTGCAGGATCTGGCTGGAGAAGCCGAGTCCTGGAGGGATGCTGTCATCGCACGGTCCCCGGGGGACCCCTCCGGCCACTCCCGGCTGGACGCTGGGGTCCTGGGCGGATCCCTCCGCGCCCCCGTGCTTCCAGGATCCACACTGTTCTTTGTCCGGCCGCGCACGGAATGAGCCCGAGTGGGTCTTCCCTGCCACACGGGGCACCTGCCACGCTCGCCGTCCCGGAGCCCCCTGGGGCGTCAGGGAGACGGGGACCCTGCAGTCCCCTCGCCGTCCCTTCAGACTTCCAGGTCCTCGTGCAGGTCAGGGCGTCCTCGACTCGCAGCGGGGGCTCTCGCAGGTGGCCAGTGGTGTGAGCGAGAGGGTCCCCACGTTTAAGAGCCGCCTGAGACCTGCCCCTGTCACGGCTGGGACCGAAACGTGTGACGCTGAGAGACGCTGGACTCGCCATGCGACGCGTTATTGATTTTTTTCCCCAAGACAGAGTCTCGCTCTGTTGCCCAAGCTAGAGTGCCGTGGTGTCAGCCTCGCTCACAGCAACCTCAAACTCCTGGGCTCATGCGATCCTCCTGCCTCAGCCTCCCGAGTAGCTGGGACTACAGGCATGCACCACCATGCCCGGCTAAGTTTTTAATGTATATTTTGAGTTGGCCAATTAATTTCTATTTTTAGTAGAGACGGGGTCTTGCCACCATGCCCGGCTAATTTTTTCTATTTTGGGTAGAGACGGGGTCCCGCTCTTGCTCAGGCTGGTCTCGAACTCCTGACCTCGAGCGATCCTCCCGCCTCGGCCTCCCAGAGTGCTGGGACGACAGGCGTGAGCCCCCGTGCCCGGCGGTGACTGATGCTTTGACGGGCGTCCAGCGCCTCCCTCGGGGGCGCCGGCCTCGGTCACCGAGCATGGACGGCCGGGCGGCGCAGGTCACAGACGGCGTCTGCGCCGGTTCCGGGTGGTCCCTGTCTGCTGTGGTCTCAGTGACCCGGTGTGGTCAGCAGCCTCCTGCCCGCCGCAGGGTCGGGGACCGCGGTCCCAGAGTCTCCCGGCCCCGACACGGCTCCAGTCCGGCCTCGCCTGCTCTTCCGTGGAGCTGACACCGGTCCACAGCGGCAGCTGCCCTCGCCCTGCCCAGCCTGGCCGTGGCGCGGGTGTGGCTCCGCCTGCCGTGTCCGGGACGTTGGTGGCCGGAGACCCTCGGTCTCCTCCCCCCC